TTCCGTCGCATGTACAAAGTTGCAAGAGACCCTGACAACTTCTGTCTGCATTGATAATAATCGAAAAGTCTAGAGAGCACAAAGTTTTCTCTCCCTTCTGAAGATGCAGTCGTGGAAGATTGTTCTTTTCTTGAAATACTTTCCACGTGCAGATACATGTGTAATTCTCTAACCGAGTTCACACAAATTTCGTTCATAGTTTCATATATTTCTAACTATTTGTTAATTATATTTTAATTGTCATAATCACATTTTAATAATTATATTTTAATGTTACATTATAATCATGTTGTTCATTGTAGGCAAGAACGTGTCTGATTACTTCACTGGTACAAACTGGCGGGTGCATCCACATTGGTTGTACTGCAAGTGAGTAGACAAACAGGCAACAAAATTCACAACATGCATCCAATCTTTTTACAATCTTATTTCATTCAAGCTGTTCTTTGGTAAAAGATTATGTTGATTATAACTTGATACATCACAGGTATCACTACGAGGGTGAGCGAAAGTACAATAGCTCGGAAGGGCAGCTGCTGCACTTTCTAGAACGGACCCGCCAGCCAGGCTGGAGATGGAACGACATGAAACAGCCATCTCAGCCGCCGGAATATTCAGCCACGAATTCCGGTAACGACACTCAACGCAAATCAAAGCGTAAGTCACTTGACAATTCCTTTTTGTCGTCTGCTAACGGAAATGGAACTGTAGAACTGACAGAATTCTTGCTTCGATTCGAACAGCCACGCCATACAAAGCGGATAAAGACAGCTATTACTGCGACAGGGATCTTCTGCTGAGTCTGGTGTTTGACGCAAAGGTAACCCAATGGTTTGCGAATCCCAGAACTGCACGCGAAGAGACAGGGTGAGTAGTCGAGACATTTTTCTCTTTTTCTTTTTTTTTCTTTTTTTTCTCTTGAGATACAAAACAGAACAAGCGTCCTTGATGGAATGCGTGCTTTAAAAATATGTACATTGTATGAAACTTCAATGGTCTGGGAGGGATAACAGAGTTAGGATACCGGTTTTTTTCTCGTACCGGAGAAGTTTACATTATAAATTGTTAAAAAAGAGATTAAGAGAAATTGAGAGCGCGCGCGCGCGAGAGAGAGAGAGAGAGAGAGAGACGTTTATGCCACTGTACCATTAAACAGGTCCGGTGAGCCCACTTTCGTGTCCTCTGTACTTTTACGTTTTTTGCACAGTTCTTCTCTCGTTTCTTTCTTCTTCTTCTTCTTCTT